ATCACAAAGTTATTGGAGGTTGGGGCATACCAAGATTTGACTGGGCAGAAAGAGTGCTTCTATACTTTCCCAGCTCTGACCAGAGCAGAGGAACAACGTTTGGCAGATCTTTTACAATTGGGCCTTGTTGAACATCAGAATGGCAGTGCTTGGCGGCTCACAGCTGGTTTGCTTAGCCAACTCCGTTTGTGCAAGCCTATGTTGACCGCTTCGCAAATTGCAAGGTCCTTCGAGCAGATCCATGGCATGCCACCTACTGTGCATGAGCTTTGGTGCAGACTGGAAGATGCTGGTTTTGAGTGGCGGAAGGTGAAGCCAAAAGAAATCTTAATCTATGAAGTTGGCGGCCCCAAGATTTGGGGCACTCGGGGGAAGCAAGTTCATTTGGAGAATTTGCAATGCTTGCTGCAAGCAGAGGACTTGCGTTCAAAGTTCGGGGTGGTTTCCATACCGTGCTGTCAGCCAAGATCAGTTTACATTGATTTGTTGGAGGGAAAGCAACCAGAGCAGACAAGCCAACCTGCGCTGCAGCTTTTGGATGATGTTGTTGCTGGGCTGCCTCTTGGCAATGGCGCTTCTGAACAACTTGAGACATTGGAGGCAAACAGTTGCCATTCAGATCCAGATCCTGGTTATGATAGTCTGGATGAGTTGGTGCGGCTTTTTGATTCTGACATGGAGCCGAACAATACTTTGCCTATGTTGCCACCCAGTCCTGACCATGGTATGCAAGCACCCTCATCTTCATCTGTGGCTCTCCCAGAACCTGGGATTGTACTGGATGACCAGCCCAAACCAAATCCACGGAAAGCCCCTGTGCAGTCTGACAGTATCATAGCAAACCCGGTCCCAGGTTTGGACACTTCCAACTACACTTGGGGTGCCTTCAGATTCACTTTTAAAAAGACTGGAGGTGGCCAGCAAGTTTCATTGCAAGCCACATGCCCTTTTCACGCCAGGAGTGCTTCCACCGGATGCAAGAAATCGCTCAATATTACGCCATTTGACTCCACACGACTTGCTGAAGTCACCCGTTTATTGAAGCATTGGTGTATCATGGCTAGGAATTTCAAGTTTCAGCGCACTCACATGGCCATGGTTTTGGATTTGAAGACATGCCCCGAGGAGGCTGTTTTGGAGGCCAAAGTCATAAGTGCTTCAGAGAAACCGGATAGTGTCAAAACAGACCAGGAGCTTGACCAGTCTAGTTCGTCCAAGAAGGATTCAACTGCCAAGAGCCAAAAGCCAAAAGCCAAGGCTGCCAGCGCTAAGCCAAAAGGTAAAAGTAAGGAAAAGAAGAAACCAGCGCCAGAGTTGTCAAAGTCCGAAGCAGGGTCCGGATCCAGTGCAGAAAGTTCGAGCACGTCCTCTAGCTCCACCAGTGACTCAAGTTCGGGCAGTTCGGACAGTTCGGATAGTTGATTTGACTTCAGATCTTGTCTGGGCTTTGTTTTGTTTTTGCTCCGCCAACCTTTCGATGATTTTGTTGGGTGGAAACTGCTGAGACATTGTCATGGCGACGTGACTCTGTCCTTGACTTTGTCCATGTGGGCTACCTTCCCTGCAACACTAATACTTTTGTGGATCCCCAGATGATTTCGAGGACTGTCGGATCAGATGTGATGTTTTTCAACAGTCGATTGATCAATGATTGAATGAAGGTATCCTTTCACATTCCAGAGTGGTTTTGCATCATTGTATTAGAACTTTTTGTTTGTTCTAGGCAATTGCCATGTCACATAATGTGCAACACAGTTTAGTGACTTGGTGTGGCTGCCGAAAAGCGGAACTCTGTGGAGGCGCTATGCACCATTTCCCTTCCCAGCGATTCTGTGAATGATTGTCTTCGAATATTTTGACGGTTGGGAGGCGCGATGCACTATTTTCCGGCAGTTTGCTTTTTGCATACTTCTTATGTTTGGATTTGCGCCATTCGGGCAGGCTGTGCAGGTTTCATTTTTTTGCTGTCGCTTCAGGCTCATAATTGTCGCTTCAGGATCATTGATTTTTGTCAGATGCCCTTGCCTCCTCACAGAATTTCTTTTGCATTAATTGAAAAACATGGATGAATCCCCAACGTCTGGCAGGATTTTCTTTCCAGAATTCTTTCAGCAGGCAGCCGCTTCCAGCCCAGGCAGTGCAGTTGGTGGACATATTTAGTTTCAGTCTCACACCTGAGAAATTTCCTTCTCGGTGAAAGAAGTGCAGTTTTGTTCCTAGCAAGCTATCAAATTTTCAAGGCAGTCTATCAAGCTACAGATGAACAAATTTCATCTAGTTACAAAGAATATTGGAATGTTTGGCTACGAAATGAATGTTTCTGCACTTTTTCAATGCGTTTTGGTTCGATTCATGCTTTTTGCAGTTTTTTTGAATGTTTTGATACGATTTATAGTATGTTGCATGAAAAAAATATATTTTAGATATTTTTATTGATATTAGATCATTCCTGGACCTTTCCTTGACGTTTCATCGAAGTTTCCTCGACTGTTCCTCGACCGTTCCTCGACTGTTCCTCGACTTTTCCTCGACGTTCCCCGATGTGTCCTCGACTGTTCCTCGACTGTTCCTCGACTTTTCCTCGACTTTTCC